GGCTGTACAGTGTGGAGGTATTGTACGGTAAGGTAGCAGACTGTACCGTGTGGAGGTATTGTACGGTAAGGTAGCAGACTGTACCGTGTGGAGGTATTGTACGGTAAGGTAGCAGGCTGTATTGTGTGGAGGTATTGTACGGTAAGCTAGTAGGCTGTACCGTGTGGAGGTATTGTACGGTAAGGTAGCAGGCTGTACGGTGTGGAGGTATTGTAAGGTAAGGTAAGGTAGCAGGCTGTACAGTGTGGAGGTATTGTACGGTAAGGTAGCAGACTGTACCGTGTGGAGGTATTGTACGGTAAGGTAGCAGACTGTACCGTGTGGAGGTATTGTACGGTAAGGTAGCAGACTGTACCGTGTGGAGTTATTGTACGGTAAGGTAGCAGGCTGTATTGTGTGGAGGTATTGTATGGTAGCAGGCTGTACGGTGTGGAGGTATTGTACGGGAAGGCAGCAGGCTGTATGGTGTGGAAGTTTAGTATGGTAAGGTAGCTGGTTGTTCGGTGTGGAGGTATTGTGCGGTAAGGTAGCCGGCTGTATGGTGTGGCTGTTTTGTACGGTAAGCTAGCAGGCTGTACGGTAAGGTAGCAGGCTGTATGGTGTGGAGGTATTGTACGGTAAGGTAGCAGGCTGTATGGTGTGGAGGTATTGTACGGTAAGGTAGCAGGCTGTATGGTGTGGAGGTATTGTACGGTAAGGTAGCAGGCTGTATGGTGTGGAGGTATTGTACGATAAGGTAGCAGGCTGTATGGTGTGGAGGTATTGTAAGATAAGGTAGCAGGCTGTATGGTGTGGAGGTATTGTACGGTAAGGTAGCAGGCTGTATGGTGTGGAGGTATTGTACGGTAAGGTAGCAGGCTGTATGGTGTGGAGGGATTGTACGGTAAGGTAGCAGGCTGTATGGTGTGGAGGTATTGTACGGTAAGGTAGCAGGCTGTATGGTGTGGAGGTATTGTACGGTAAGGTAGCAGGCTGTATGATGTGGAGGTATTGTACGGTAAGGTAGCAGGCTGTATGATGTGGAGGTATTGAACGGTAAGGTAGCAGGCTGTATGGTGTGGAGGTATTGTACGGTAAGGTAGCAGGCTGTATGATGTGGAGGTATTGAACGGTAAGGTAGCAGGCTGTATGATGTGGAGGTATTGTACGGTAAGGTAGCAGGCTGTATGGTGTGGAGGTATTGTACGGTAAGGTAGCAGGCTGTATGGCATGGAGGTATTTTATGGTATGCTAGTGTGGTGCGACGATATTCTACAATAAGTTGTGCATTATGTCTGTATATGTAGTCTATTTCCCGCATGGATTATTGTAACCCTCTCCCAAAAGCCGTATTGCCCCACTACAGTCTGTAATGAATGCCGTCAGACTGATTTTCCTCTCTAGTCGGTCCTCTCACACCTCTGCCAGTCCTTACATTGGCTCCCTGTATCCTATAGGAGTCAATTCAAAGTGCTAACCCATACATAGAAATCACTGAACAATTCTAGCCCCTCTTATATCTCTTCACAGATCCATAGGTATGTCTCTTCTCGGTCTCTTCGCTTTGCCCGTGACCTTCTCCTGTCCGCTGCTCGCACCATTACGGCCAACTCACGCTTGTAGGACTTCTCATGGGCGGCTCCCTTTCTATAGAATAGCCTGCCTACCGCCATCAGACTCTCCCCATGTCTTCAAGAAGTGCATTAAAACCCATCTCTTCAGGAAAGCTTATGGCCTCCCAGAGTAGCCTCTACCTCACATACCTGCCTCTTGCTCTCTCCTCCAGCCCTGCTTCACTCCCACATTATTTGATTGCTATTTCCTGTCCTAATGTGTTTTATACCCCACCTCCTATAGACTGTAATCTCCTTTAAACAGGGTCCTCTTCAACCTATCATTCCTGTAAGTTTTCTTGTAATTGTCCTATTTATAGTTATATCCCCCCTCTCATAATATTGTAAAGCACTATGGAAGCTGTTGGCGCTATATAAATGGCGATAATAATAATAATAATATAGAGAAAAGCTTTTCCATTAATGATGTTTTTGCTCTATGGTGCTAATATCCACACACGAGAGACTTTGTTTCTGCTATATTCCCCCAATGCTTAGTGTTTGTTGTGTCCCCACAGAATGCGCCAGCTGCAGCTTCTGGATATGACAGGGATGCAGGACGATGGTCTGGAGCGGGAGCCGGATAGTATGAGTTTGTGGTCCAGCACGGTGGCGTTATCCAAAGCTTGCATTGACATTTCCCGACGGCACAGTGAAAATGTTCTCCGAATGACAAAACGCAGGAAAGGTTCACGAGACGCGACATTTACCGCTCGTCCGCTGGTTAGCTCTGTGTTTGTGGAAGTGAGAGTGGATCTCTTTGTAAATAGCACTTCCTATGGTGTCCTACGGGAGGCGCTCCTTATAAGCTCGCACAGCCCTCTGCGTTTCCAATGCAGGGATCTCCGGGCTGAAGAGCTTTCTCTCCAGAGCACTGCTGGACTTCTAGAACTTCTAAACCCTGCTGGTGTCAGGAAGATAGATTTGAGATTCAACAATCTGGGACTCCCCGGCCTTAATGTCCTCCTCCCGCTCATGACTAAATTCACTTGGCTGAAGAGCCTTAAACTGCCGTACAGTAACATTGACATAAAGCGTCTCTCTCCAGAGATGGAGGAGGGGCTTCAGACCTTTACCTCTCAGATTGGCCAGCTCCGTGCACTCCAAGAATTAAATCTTGGTTCGTCACGGCTCTCAGGACGCCTGAGACAGCTGCTTGGGTAAGATCTTCGTGTTTCAGACTACTAAAATCACTGCAGGAACACATTGTGTAATTGTGATACTCCATTGGAGTCATTTCATTTAGAGGGCTGTTGGGCATGTACAGCCTGCTATTGTAAATTCAGAGAATATCATCTGGGGCAGTAATTTGGAGTTCATGCACTAAATTAACTTTAATCTTCTGACATTATCAAAACCACCTCCAGATTGATCTAGATTAGCTCCAAGCTAAATTGGACATAAACTAACAGAATTATGCTGTGGTGTAATATTGAATCAAAACTAGTAACTGTGAGTAAAAAAAGAATACTTATACTTAGATATTGTACCTTGATGTGCTGTCTTTAAAATTCACATAAATACCGTATACATGGACATTCAGTTCTTCAATCTTTTTAAAAACAACAAAGTATTGCACTCACACTGAAAGTGGTCACAAAGGCGCGTAGATAGGTGTAAAAGATCAGGTCAAAAGATCCAAATTGAATTGGATCAGGGAGCTGTCAGGAATTCAAGTCAATTTCAAATAAAAATTCTCCATCTGGTATGCTTCCTCTACTTTAGCCTTCAATTTGAACCTCTTTGAATTCTAGACAATACTCACTGAAGGGGTCTGGCTGCAGTGTCCCAGACTCCTTAACCCTACAATTGTCATTTATTATCAGACACCCACTAGAGGGACTTCTGATTGCCTGACACTGGACGTCCTCATCACCCAAAATCCCATAGAAAAGCATTATACAATGCACATAAACATTAGGTGCAGTAATTAAATAACCCGGGACTGTCTCATGTTGGCCTTCCCTTGGTATACCATTATCAGCTGGCAAAACCCAGCCCGTGTGATTCAATGCTGTCTCCACTCGTTCCTGATTGACAGGCCATGTATCAGTGTGTTTCTACTGGAAATCCAACACTTTGCCTTTTCCATTTGCAGATCAGTGTGGGGGCTTTAGTGATGCGCTTACATTTTTCCTTTACATGTTGATATTTAATGGTATTTGTTTCTCTTTTTAGGGGTTTGCAGACACCTCTAGAGAGTTTGGAGCTAGCTTTCTGTTACCTTCTACCCATGGACCTGTACTATCTCTCCAAAAGTGTCCATGTTTTTACTCTGAAGAAGATAGACCTCAGTGGGAACAACTTATCTGAGATTCTCCTTCAGCCCTTCCTACAGCTTCTCACCGAGGTCTCCCCTACTCTCATGCACTTGGACATTATGGAATGCAGGCTGGCTGACGCACATCTCTCCATTATCATGCCAGCACTGTGCCGTTGCTTGTGCCTCAGATACATAGGTTTTGCCAGCAATCCGGTGTCATCTCAGGGACTTAAAACGTTCTTACAGAACTCTGTGCGACTGCCTGAATTGCAGCAGGTGGTCTATCCATTTCCAGTAGACTGTTTCAGTGACGATATTCCCTCCACTAGGTGTACATTTGCCAAAATACTTTATGACGAAGAGAAAGTTAAACAAGTTGCAATAGCACTGCAAGAGATGCTGGTCAGGGCTCAACGGTCAGACATTGTATGGACCACTGATATGTACCAAGAGACATTCATGGACTATTTAAACTATTAATCTGGGAATCATTTCAACCAGCAGCCAGGGATTTTCAAGTCTGACACTTTAAATTGAAACACATTAAAAGTATAATATGCCTTTTCACCTTTTGTAAAATATTCTCAAGAAGTGAGTGTGGCCAGAAAAATACATTTTGAAGAAATATCCAGAAGTGAAACGGTTACATCTTATACTCTTTAACCCTCACAGTGTTGGAGTGAGTAAATTATGTAAATGAAAAGGATTAAAAAATAGAATTATCATCCTGTATTTAAAAAATCCATATGCTATTGTGAGTGTGCCTACATTGTTAATTTATTCTTAGAGCTTATTTCATCCAGTGATCCAAAGAAAGGCTAATTCTGCTGCTACAGTTAAGGCACTTCCCTTTAACCTGGCTGTGTGAAATGCAGTTTATAATAATGTGTAGCAGCAGATATAGCCATCTCTGGACTATTTGAAGCAAATCGAAAACCATTATTTTTGCTGCAAGAAAGCCCTGTGCTTCTGATCCACGTTCTGTAACATTTTCCTGTATGGTGTTAGAACTTCAGCCTTTACTTCCCCTTTCTCGCTTTTTCATTTCCCCTTCTGAGCCTTCACACAGATGGCAGAGATTTCATTTTCAACATGAGCGTGCATATCTTAAAGCGGCTCTACTACCTCCTGGTTAACCCCCAATGTAATATCACTGCTCGGGAAGCAGTGGCCCAGGGGTACAACAGAAGTACGTTTTATTTACCAGACCCCGCGGGTGCCAATATCTTCAATCTACCGCTCCTGATGCTTCATCTGCCAGGAGCCCATGGCAGTGCTGTACTCGTGGACATGCCCAAGAGTTCAACAATAATGTCTGTGGAGAATTCAACGAAACAGTGGGAGCATCTATAGATACAGTCTTGCTAGCAGCGGCTGTGGTTAATGAGTGCAGTTTGTCGAGTTAGACATTTACCATAAGACACCATTGTACCTACATTGTCTCGTTTTATATTCTGACTGCGTTGGAATTTCAATGAAATTCCAGCAGTCTTCAAGAACATTTCATAAAACTATACTATTTTTTTTATCATTCTGTTTTTTATTAAATGTATACTGTACTGCAATATTCATACAAAACATTGTACCTATGAGTCAGAATGCTGATAAATATGTCCTCAAAATAACCATTGTACAGTCATTGGGACAATAAGTGAAACAAATTGCAGCATATCACATTTCGAATTATAGTAAACAGTAAGCAATACATTAAGGGTAACAGAATACCTTGGCAAAATTAGCTACTTCACGATCATATCTTGTTATTGGTGATCGTTGGCTAAGAGCATTGAGGATGTGTCTGACAGTAGTCAGGTCGGTGTGTAGGTTTGCTACCCCAAGTTAACGTGCACCTGGAGGTTGGTACAAGGGAATTGTCATTTATGGAGACAGCCTTATTGTGCTCTCTCTGGTTTCAGATAGTGTAGGGCTAAAGGTTGTGTTTAAAACTGATGCTAGTACAAAACCTCTCCAGTGTGCTGAGGCACCCCTTACCCAACTGGTGTGTGGGGGGGGGGGGGAGATCGGGTGATCAAGCAAGGTACTGGTAAACCCACATGGGGTGCACAGAGATTATATTCATGATTGCGACGTAAACACTGCTGGCCCACTGTAACGTGGTTCATAAATTTTTTTATATTTTATAAATAGCTTACATTTTGGGGTGGTAACAGTAGATTTTAAAATGTAAGAATTTTATATTATTTATATTTTAGAATATGAAAACTTCATGGTGTACATTACATTTTCACAAAGTGTTTAAAATTTCTTTAAAAAAATGTTTATGACCCTAGCTACAACCAGCACACATAGCAAAACACGTGACCTAGCCATAGCCACACTCCCCTGTTGCCCCCTCATGGTACTGAGGAGGGAGGTCGTGCGGATCAGTGAGCTTTCTCT